GACCCGCCCGGACTCCGAGCCCGGCCCGCCCGGCCGCGCGGGTCGAGGGTCTGCTCTGTGGGCGCGCACGCGGGGCCGGCGCCGAGAGGGAGCCAGAGCATGCGGGGAGCGGCGCGGGTGGCCGGGGGGCGCGCGGGGCAGCGGTGGGCACGACCCCGCGTCCCGGGTCCCGGCCCGCCGCTGGCCGTGCCGCTGGCCGTGCTGCTGGCCGTGCTGCTGGGCGGCGCGGGCGCGCAGTACTCGAGCGACCTGTGCAGCTGGAAGGGGAGGTGAGTCCGCGCGGCGCGACCTCGGCGCTGGGGCGGCGCCCCTCCCCGCGCCCCCCTCCCGCGGGCAGAGCGTGCCGGGCTTGGGGGTCCCCTCTCCGGCCGAGTGCCGACCCCGCCGCCTCCGCCCCCGGTGCTAGAACAAAAGAGCCCGCGGCGTCCGGGTCCCCGGCCCGGACGACGCCCAGGGGAGGCGCGCCTGCAGCGCTGCGGGTCAGTCCCGGCCGGGCAGCCCTCTCGCCCCGCGCCCGGCCGCGCCGGTCCCTACTTAGGTCCCCGAGCGCTGGCCGCCGAGCCCGCGGGCGGAGGTCGGCCCTCCGGCCCTTGCTGGCCTTTGCCCGCGGCGAGGAGGTGCGCGCCCCAGGCCGGGAGGAGCCGGGCCTGCGCCCAGGGTCGGGCGGGAAGGGACGGTTGGGTCCGCGGGAGGGGGCGGCGGCTTCGGTGGACTGAGCGGGCCCTGGTGCCCAGGACAACTCTCACCGCGTCTGTGCGGGCGGAGACCCGTGCGCGGGGCCGGTTGCGAGCCTGGCGGAGCCCCCCGCCCCCGCCCCCGCCCGGTGAAGGTCAGGCCGCCCTTGGCAGCGCGCGCGCTGGGCTGGGCGACCCCCCTTCACACCCCTCTGCTGTGGCAGCCGAGGACTTATAAAAACTGAAGTGTGACCAGCAGAAAGAAGTGAAGTCAAAGTGTTTACGGGCGGGGTGCCTGAGGGCACAGGCACTCAGGACGAGAAACCGCCGTCCCCAGGGGCGCCCTCGGCCGCGCAGGCAGCTCGCGGGGTCAGAGAAGCCAGCCCTGGGCCGCGGAAAGCGCCCATTCAGGAGTTTGCACAGGAGACGTCCATGTCCTCTGAACACGCCGTGAGCTGCACTGTCCTTGGGTCTGGGTGTCGGCGTGTCCAGGCCCCCCACACAAGCCCCTGGGCCTGTCTGATGGGAAGACCTGGCCGCAGGCACCTCATGGGGGTGGGGTTACTGGGTTATTTTGAGTGAAGACGGTTTTCCGAGAAGGCTGGGGTTGTGCCAGTACGCTGGGCTCTGCCTCAGCGGGACAGCCACGGTCATCATAGCAGCGCTTACAGACCTGTTTTCTGTGGGCACTGGCGATCACCCCACTTCCTTTTCCCGCATACCCACCCCTCCTAGAGCAAAGGGGGCCCAGCACCCTCCCTCCATGCTGCAGAAATTCTCTGCTCACAGCAGAGCCTGGATGGAGGACCGGGAGGGGAAGATCGCAGCTCTGGGGGAGGGCTGGCCTGGAGACTGCTGGCGCCAGCACAGAGCTGGCTGGGAGCCTCCAACTCTGACACACGCTGCTGGGGCTGCCCTTTCCTCCCTGCGAGTAATTAAACTCCCTGCTTTGCAGCCTCTGCCGAATGTATCAGTGCACCCCAAACTGAGGGCTTGGGGTGTCCTGCTTCAGCAGACCAAAAACAAACCCAGTCCCATCCACCCAATGAGCCTGAGTTTCCAGAGGAGCTGACGCCCTATCCAGGTTTTCAGAAGACTGTGCCTGGAGGGGTGAGCCCAGAGGGGCTGTGAGTGAGGGCTGGTCAGTGGCCAGCCAGCTCCTGGACCCAGCCAGTGTTTGCAGTGGGAGGAGGAGACCCCTCGTCTTCCCGTTCCCATGCTCCCTCCTGTCTACCTGGAGCAGCTGGGACGCTTACCTGGCCTCCTCTCTCCATCACTGCTAAGGTACCCATCTAGGACTCTCCACGGCCGTCCTTGCTCAGCCGGAAGGCAGGCAGGCCTAGCTGGCCGGCCCACTGGAGCTGTGGGCGGGAGCTGGAGGGAAGCCCCGGCCAGTTCCTGCTGCAGCCCCAGTTATCAGTACGCCAGGGCTCAGCGCTGCTGTGCCTGCTGACTTTTATGAGTCGCTCTAAAGACAGCACAGGGCCGACCCTGATAAGCCACTGGATTCTGACCCCCTGATAGGGAGGGGGCTGCTGTTTATGACAGGGGCCGCTCACAATTGACAGGCTGAGTTGTGCTTCTGGGTGTTTCCAAGCAATTAAGTAGGTGGTGTAGAAGCCGCTGGCCCTTGTGCAGGGCAGGCCAGCGCCCCGTCTTTATTGTGCAGTGGTCATAAAGGTGGACCGTGAGCTTTCCGCTGCTCTGGGCAGGTACCTGATACCTGGGCTACCCCCCACCAGGTGGGAAAATGAAAGGTAACTGCAGCCTGCACAGCCCTGGGCTTGACCCTTCACCTGAAGCTCCCCTGACTGCAGTAAACAGGAGACCATAGTTTCCTTCTGGTGACTGGGTTTGAGCCAGGCTGCTCTACTGTCACTGACCCCTTCAGAAAGCCCCACATCCGACTTAGAATTTGCCATCTTTTCCATAAAGCTGCTCCACAGGTGTGTCCATCTGGGGAGTAACACTCGCTGACGCTTTTTTAAGAAAAATGCATTAATTCAGTTTAAGTCCATCTTTGGAGTTTCCTTGGAGTTTCCTGAGCAGAATCAGTTCCCTCCATGTACTGTGTCTTCATCTCAACATCAGAAAACAGCATCTTATTGTTGCCTGGTTAGCATGTCCTGTGAAACCTGTAACACACCATCACCAGTTGACCAGGACAGACGTGGGGCGTTTTTGCACCTCCAGCATTTTGCATAAATAGAAGTGTGTTTTGGATTTGCAGGAACCTTGGAGGTGAGAGACGTGCCTCTATTTTCTGGTAGGAACCCAACAGCCCAGGAGCCGTTGACCTTATTCAGAGACCCAGCATGTCCTGGTCCTAGTGGCCTGAGCGCATATTTGTGTAAATGGAGGCCCTGCAGGTCACGCACCACAGGGCTCCCGGGCGCACTTCTGGGTGGGGTACCTGGCTGGAGCCTTGCTGAGTGCTGCTTTAGGAGAAGGTGAGAAAGGACAGGCCCTCCTGTGGCAGGGAAGCCGTTAGCTAGAGGGGAAGTAACGGGTGCCTTAGTTCTTAAGTGCCCACCTTCGTTTCGTTCCTACTCTTTCAGTTGAGTGACCTAGGAATAAATGGAGCCCAGTGCACCCTATAAGTTGTATGCAGTCTCAGGTGCAGGCTGGGTGGGGGGCGGCAGGCCCCAGGCGTAGGTCCACCTCCCCCCGGGCAGCCGTGGGCTGGCCACCTGTCCCCACGAGGGTTTCCTCTGCCCCTGCCCGAGATGTGGATGGAGGGTGGACCTCCCGACTTCCCCCCTCCATGTTCAGATTAAGGTGATTTAGTGAGGGTTTCCAAAGTCTATGCCATTGGTTCTCCGCTAGCCTTGACCCCCAGAGCCCCCAACCCCACGGAGAGGGAAGTGAAGCCTTGAACAGGATGGTTTTTGTGGGAGAGAGGACAGATGGGCCTGGGCTGGGCAAGTCCAGCTGCTCTTGGAGGCTGGAGGCTGGAGACTGGAGAGGAGGGATCCTGATAGAGTTTGTTTTGGCCACATAAGACCAGAGCTGATTATAATGATCGGTGGCAACCACTCACCATTCAGTGTATGTTTTCATGCAGCACTATCATTTGCCCATCTCCACGGATGTGCCAGATGAACTTGTATGAGTTTTATTTGACTGTAATTTGTAAGTCTGTTCCTTGTGTGCGGCCCTGGTAGGCATCTGAGGCCGGGCTGGCTGCTCATGACCCAGGGGTTTGTGGGGTGTGGAGGGTTCTCCTCCCTGACACCTCCCTCTGATGTGGGCGGCAGGATGACTGTGCAGCCTCAGCTGCAGCTGGCCGTTGTAGGAGAAGTGAGGTTTTTTCGGGGCCCAGAGTGTGAGTCACCAACAGTAAATGCAAACCATATGGTCTGTGTTTTCTCTGCAGAAAGGGTTTCTGGTAGCACTCAGGCCAGGGCTCTGAGTGAAGCATTGTTTATTCCACATAAAAATCCTAAGAATGCGGGTGAACCTGTCTGAGATCTGATCAGAACCAAATTTCATGTAATAAAACCCTGAGCTGAAGTCTCTGGTTGAGTGCCAGGGTTGCTCTGTGGTTATGACGCAACCGTTAGCACAAGCGGACATTTACGTTACGTTTTTGAGTTAACATTTTGGATGGTTTCAGTTTCTTGAAAACATAACGTAATGACTTCGCTCGAGACCTGTCTCACCAAGAGAGCAGCACGCCTCATTTTGCGCCATTGAGCGTTGGCTGGGAGTGCGATGAGCTACGGTCCCTAGAAACGGCCCTTGGGAACACTCACCTTTGGCTTCTCTGAACATGCTCTCCCGTGTCTGTTCTCTGGGGAGGACCTGACCTCACCTTTGGATCTTGCTTTGATGACATTTGAGTTTGTTGTAGAGAATATGATCAGCAGTGCAGGGTCTTCAGGTTTGCGGATGAATGAAAAGCAGTCAAAGCATCACCTTAAGGAAAACAAACAGTGATGCCTAACGGGGAGGCTCTGACAGAAGACTCAGCTACAACCTGCAGCCCCCAAATTTCGCACGTCCCTCGTTGGTTCCTGAGCTACTCCCTGGAGCGTGTTGTTTATGTGTGCACGCTGTCCCCATTCTGGCTGCAGCTTGAGGCTGCGTCCTTCACGCTCTGGGGGAACCTGCCATCATTCCCCAGCCCTCACTTGGTCATCTGGAACTTGGGTTGCTGCCAAAGTCCTGCTCTGTTTCCTTGATTGTAGTTTGGCAGACCCATCCTTTCCTCTCGGTTCTCACCTCCACTGCACCCATCACCTCCCCGATTCAGGGAAACCCCAAGGACAGAGGCACCTGATGCTGCAGCCTCCAAGGCCAGCAGGCACTCAGCCAGTGTCCAGGTGTCGAGAGGGTCTGGGAGCCAGATGCCACCTGCGCTCATCAGAACCCCGTCTGACCTTGACTCTGGAGCAGGCACGCTGGAAAGAGCTGGGTGGGGGAGGCCAGTGCAGCAGGGCCTGCTGTGGGTGAGGGGCAGGGAGCCCCTCCCCGCCGGTGCCTGCAGGGTGGGGCCCCGGCTGACAGTGTGTCCCCTCCGCAGCGGGCTGACACACGAGGCCCACCGGAAGGAGGTGGAGCAGGTGTACCTCCGCTGCTCCTCGGGCGCCGTGGAGTGGATGTACCCGACCGGAGCTCTCATCGTCAACCTGCGGCCCAACACCTTCACGGCCACCCGGCACCTGACTCTGTGCATCAAGCCCCTCAAGGACTCCTCGGGGGCCAATATTTATTTGGAAAAAACTGGAGAGCTGAAACTCCTGGTGCGGGATGGGGACCACGGGCCCGGCCAGGTGCGCTGCTTCGGCTTCGAGCAGGCCGGCCTGTTCGTGGAGGCGACGCCCCAGCAGGACATCGGCAGGAGGATCACAGGCTTCCAGTACGAGCTGAGCAGCCGGCGGGCCGGCTCGGACCTGCACACTCTGTCGGGTGAGTGGGGGCAGGGTGGGCTCCCCGGCCTCGGCCGTCCTCTAGTCCTCGTCCTTCTCATGTGCGTGTGCCCGGCTTCTCTGATTTCCTCCCACCCCCTCAGCACAGCCTCTGAAAGTGCTTCTCAGGTGTGCCTTGCAGACCTGGAGGTTCTGGCGAGGGAACCATGATGCCAGCAGAGCAACCCCCAGGGGGCAGCTGCGTGGCGTTGTGGGAGTTGCACGTGTGGTGTCCCCTTAGTGTTCTGGCTGTTTTGGACTTTGTGAACCGACGTCATCTCCCAGGAAGTGTGTTTGCAGAGGTAACAAGTGTCCCCGAGAGCGGCCACAGGCAGAGCAGAGCCAGGACAGGTCACGGTCCTCGCTCTGATGCGCTCGTCCTCCACGGACCAGTTATGACCGTTATTTGAAATGGGTGCTGTTACCATTCAAACCGCCCCCGACTTCTTCTGCCACACAATTGGCCAAGTGTTTCTGACACCGGCCACAGCCCCTGGAATGTCACGTTTTGGGTGGGGCCTGAGGCTGACCCACGTCCCAGGTGCAGGGCTGTCGTAACCTGAATCCTGGCCCAGGCCTGTGTTCTGCAGACATTTTGTGGGTGGGTGTCGGTGGGGCCTCCGCGGGGGTGCAGCGGAGACACTGGCTGTGGGTGGGTAGCCAGGCGGGTCCGGAGCCCCTCTGCTGCAGGACCTCCTCTGAAGGGGCTTGGTGATATGAGAACCTGGGGTGGGGCTCTCTCAGAGCCCAAGGGGGTGCTGGCAAGGGCTTAGATTTTCATTCCTTTTTCTTTGGAGGTGAGCAGACAGCTTTGCAGAGCCCTGTGTGGAGGCCGTGTTGGTCTTGGGAAGGTCCTGTGGGCAGAGACTGAGGAGGAGCCCTTGCCCCAAGAGCTCTCACACAGGCAGGTCTCACCCCGTGCGCCTTGAGCAAGCGCCCTTTAGGGACACCCAGGCCAGGCTCCGCCCTCGCTCTGAGGCACAGAAAACGTTATGATGTCACAGCCTCCAAATGTGTAGGTGGGGCCACGGGGCTGTGGGGCTAGTCAGGACCAAGATGCCTTGAGGGGAGTGGTGAGCTTGGGTTATCCTGGAAGCAGGTTTCAGAAAGGCTGTTCCCTCCGTGACCAGCTGGGGTGATGGTCAGGTGCGGGGAGGCCACGGGGCCCAGGCAGGGATGCTGTTAACACCCCACAGTGCATAGGACGCCCCAACACAGACAGTAACCTTGCCCCAAGTGTCAGCACAGGGTACCCTACACGGTGATGACCTGGTCCCACTTGTTGCAGTGCCAAGGTGGAAACACCTCCTTAGTATAGTTACCACATTTTCATGAATAAAATATTTTATTGGGGAAAACCAGACCTGGTAGGATTTGAAAAGTAGAGTTTCCTCCTGAACATCAATCTACATTTTATTATTCTGTGTTCTTGTCTCACATCAGTTTTCAAAACTTTCAATCTCTCTCAAACTAAACTGGCTTGTTAGAGAGCCTCAGCATAGAACTGTTGGGGTGAGACCCCACCCCCAGTGTGACTCCCCCTGCAGGACCCCACCCCCAGTGTGACGCCTGAGGACCACCCCAGACCTGAGTAAAACCTGATCACCAGTGGGAACAGTGGGTTGGAGATTGGGGGAGGGGACCCCAGCCTTGCTCTGTGGGCCCTAGAGGTAAACTTGAAACGAAAACAAAACCTGGGAAATCCCAGCCAGGGAACCCCACGGTGCTGACCGGAGCCCAGTTAGGGAGCTGTGAGCGCCTCTTACTGAGAGAATGTTCATCTGTCTCCCAGACACTGGCCCGCTGGTCACGTGCTCTCCTGGCTTACGCGTCGTCCACCCTCGTTTGCCCTGTGAGTCTTACAGGTGTGGGCGTCAGTCCTGCTGCTCACATGGACACTGAGCACCCCCATTGCACAGGCTGCAGTTTCTGGTGGAGAATCCACCGTGTTGGTCATAGCGCCCAGGTTCTCTCCTCCTCCCTGGGGGCAGGGCCTGTGTCCCCCAGGCTCCCAGGCCCATGTTTCCAGGCGGGGGCAGTGCCTGGGTTTGGGAGAGGCCTGTAGGATACAGGGACAAGGCCCCGCCTGATGGGGTGGGTCATCTGGTGACCACCTGTGCTTGCCACCCCTGCCCAGACACCTCCTAGGACCCCACACAGCCAAGTGGCTGTGGCTGGACATTGAGCTGGCTGGTGTGGCCAGGACTTTTGTGAGGGAAGTGCTAGGAGTCCCCTTGTCACCCCCAACATATGCCTGCTTGGCCCAGGGGTATCTGCCGAAATCTGGGGCCCTCAGAGAACGGCGCCTCACCGATGGTGGGGTGAGTGTCCATGTGCCCAGTGGCCCAGACCTGGGGCAGCTCAGTCGTGCAGCGATTGTCGGAACTTGGGATGGGGAGTCAGGCACCCAGGGCTTCCAGAGCTGGGGCCGGAAATGGGCACAGGTGCCAGCCCTCCCGGGGGCCCAGCACCTCCCCTCCTGAGGGAGACAAGGGCAGCAGGGGCCTGGGGAGGCTGGCGTCCCTTCTGCCTGGGTGTTTGCCTTTCATCAGGGCTTGGGCCCCTAAGCCTTTAATGCCGCAGGAATGGGGACGTAATGTGGAATGTGGGTGCTGGCCATCTGGCAGCAGCGATGTCCCCGGCCAAGCAGGCTCTCAGTTGGCAGCAGGCTCCCAGGCCTCTCCTGCTCTGGGCCTGGCTGCCGCTGCGGAGGACTCAGTGAAACTGGACCCCAGGTGCCGAGACTTGGAGGAGAGCACGTGCCTTTGGCCTAGCAGCAGTGTGCCCACCTACTGGGGAGGTGGCCGGGCCTTGTCCCCACCCTGAGTCACATGGCCTAGCGTGTGCTGGCGTGAGAGGAAGGAGACTCCGCAGGCTGGAGTTCTGGACCAGAGGTGTGTGTGGTCGCGCGTTGGCCTCCTGTGCCCTGTGTTGCATAATCAGCTTCCTCGATAAACCGATAAACCGAGAGGCACCGACAGCCAAGGATGGAGGGGCAGCCGCACTCCATGACAGACACAGGCGGGCGTGGGCAGGCGGTAGGAGGGAGCGCAGCCCCGGGGTCTCTGGATTTGGCTGCCACACAGCAGGAAGGGAGGACCTGCCACCCCGTGCCCCCACCTCCTCCATGGGCCTCGCCATGGCCCCTGAGTGACACAGGCACCCCTTCCATGGGCACCGAGGAAATCTGGCAGGACACACAAGGCGGGGGTGCGGCAGGTGCCACCAACTGATGGAGGGGGTCCAGGCCACACCTGGAACAGGTACTGAGGTGGGGGAACCTGGCGCGGCCATTGGGCTGTCCACCTGGGGTCTCAGCACACTCAGGGGATGGACGCCACTAGGATACCCTGCCACCCAGTGGCCTGGGGGATGTGTGGGGGTGGCCAGCAAGGGAGGGTGGGGGTTGCTCCGTCTGGTACTAGGGTGCAGAGGCAGACCCCATCTCCTCACTTCGCCTGGGGCAGCCCAATGGGCCCCGGATTCCCATCTGCTCTTTCATGCCTCGGGGGGCCGAGTAGCAGTGGTTCACCAGCTTGGCCACATCCACGCTCTGGGGTTTGGTGCTTGGGCTCCATGCGATGCCCACCCAGCATGACCCCCGTGGTCAGGCAAGTGGGGAGGACAGACGCATTTTAGATCCACAGCTGGAGGAGGCAGAAGGACGCAGGTTGGTGGGGAAGCTGTGATGGGGGGGCGGTCTGGGGTCCCACAGTTCCTGACGGGCTTCATCTCCCCGTCCCCTGTAAAGCTGCTCTGTTTGATGAGCAGGAGCAGACGACCGCTGGGGGTTGCCCAGTGGGTACAGAGCCCCTTGCTGGGGAGCCCTCTCAGGCATCTCAGAGTTTGGGGGTGGCCTTGATGGCCCTGGGGAGTGAGTAGCAAAGTTCAGAAGTGAAAAGAAATCTCATTATTTCCTGGAAACAGAAATGGAGAGAATTTTTTTCCCCAAGGATGGTTTATTTCTGCACAGTGGCTTCTCTGGGCACTGTAATTATTGTATAATTTTTTTCATCTTACCCAGCTCTGACTTTTGGGGTGGAAGGGTGTGGCCTCCACCGGTTTCCTCACCAGGAAGTGGGAGGGAGGGAGAGCAGCAGGAGAGGAGGCGTTGGTGGCAGCTGCCCAGGCCGGCAGGTCATCTGGGGCCTGGAGTTCTGGGCGAGCGTGGACGTTGTTGTGACCATGGGAGAACCCTCACCGGCCACGCCAGCGTGCTCTCAGCCAACACCCGAGCGCCCCAGCCTTGCTCCTCCCTTTTCTCCGCTCCCCGTTCCTGCTGCATTTACCACCTGTCACTAGCCAGCCTCGGTGGGTGTCCTCACACACGGTTCTTTTTGGAAATTGTGTGCGACCACATGGTCGTCCTTACGTGGGCGTCCCGCCTGCGGGACCAGCGTCTGACCATCTGCAAACCCCTCCTGTGCCCAGGGCCTGACGGGGTGCCACTCTCCCTCGCTCCCTCCTGCCTGCACCTGCTGTCCTCCCCCAGGTCCCTGCGGTAGCCCCTGGCCAACGTCCCTGACCCTGTTATTTTCTTCTTCATTCGGCTCATTTTATGCACATTCCTGAGTAATCTTCCTGGGATGTCCACACCCAGCCCTCCCCTCTCCCAGAACCAGGGCCAGAATTCCAACCGGTCCATGGGCTGCCCCCTCCCCGTCTTCCACGTAAGGAAATGAGATTCGATGTGTCTGAAACCAGTGCATTCCACAGCCTTTATGAGCCCGACCGATTGATAATTGTTTCCAGATTGCTTCTCTTGGCGTCCACAGAGGCCCGGATTTTCCACAAGGTGCCCTGTGCTTTGTAAAGCTCAGACTGTAGGAGCCCAGGCTCAGAGTGGGGCTTTATTAGCTCAGCTGTCGATGGTGTTGGCTCCGCGAGGCTTCTGGTGGGAGGGTCTGCAGGCTGCTGAGGTTCCAGGGCTCAGCAGACTCCATGTTCACAGGGGCACAGCTCTAGGCTGCACCAGACACACCCAGGCCTAGGGTCCCCTCATGGCGTGCGGCTGGGCCTCTGGGTGCTGCCCCCTGGCCTGCCTCAGCTGGCTCGGAACCTGAGGCATGCTTCTGCAGAGCTGGTGTGGACCCCCACCCCCATCCCCGCACCGGCACTTGGTGCACTGAACGCCTGGCCCCTGAGGGCCCCGGGGCTGCTCCGTGAGGGGACTCTGAAGGTAGGCTGTGGTCACTGTGGGCTAGGCTCACGGACCTGCCTTCTCGCTGGGACAGCTGCCGAGGCTGCCCCCACCTGTAGAGGGACCCCAGGCTTCAGCCTCTGATCCCATGGGCACTGAGTGGGCCAGCCAGGATGGGAAGGCACGCCTCTGCCCCCGCCCTTTCACACAGGCTGGAATAAAATGCCGCCTCTAAGTGTTGCGTGAGCCCTCAGATGCTGTGTGCGCCCTTTGTCATCACTCTGACCATGTGGTGGCCTCTATCAGGCCCAGCGTGGGCAGCAGGTCCCAGGTGGGCGAGAAATATGGGGGACCCCCAGTTGGCCACCCTTTTTTTGTTAAAGATTTTATTGGGGAATTGGGGGATGGGAACAGCTGGGGAATCGGGGAAGGGGAAAAGACAAGTAGCTGTCCTTTTGTTCTTCAGTCTAGTTGTGGAGGACGTTGCTTCACTGGCCCATGTTGGTATTATCATTGTGCTCTTCCCAGGTGAGGCAGATTGGTCGCCGGCCATTGGACATGTGGGATCTGAACCGGGGCCCTGCTGCTCAGAGCTGGCGTCCCAAGCCAACTCCTAACCAATGTGCCACTCGGCCGGCCTGGCCACCCTCTTTTGTGAGAGGCCTTGAGACTGGGGTCCACACATGTAAACAAAAGCCGCAGGCTAAGGACTTGGAGCTGGAGGGGAGGTGCCTGCCTCTCGCTCGGTGGCTGCAGGGGCCTCAGCCTCAGCCAGCAGGCTGGTCCTGTTCTGCGGCTGCCCTTCCTCCTGATAACCTGGAACCCAGGGGGTGGGCAGGCCGGTGAGTGAGTCAGGCGGTGCTGAGCTGGACGGTGTCACCGCATCCACCCTGCCCCGGGGCTGGACACTCACGTCCACCAGGTTGCCTGTGCAGACCTGAGCGTGGGGCCACACGGCCCACACACGTTCTGGCCTGGGAGGTGGATCGGGGGCCTCTGGCTCTTCTCCGTCCCAAGGCCCCCACGTCACTGCTTCTCCGGGTGGGTCTGGGCAGCCCCCGGGTAGGAGACAGCTCAGCCCAGTTCAGGAGCTTCTAGGACAGCCGACCATGTGCGCTGACAGGAATAGCTCCGTCCAGGCCCAGTGAGGGCCAGGGCCATTCCACGCGGCTTTTAGAACATGAAAGGGCCCAGGGGAGGCCTGTCCCCATGAGATGTCATACGTAAGGCTTCTATTGAGTTAGGAGAATTTGTGCCAAAACTTAGAAACTCGAAACAGGTAAGGTGGAGAGGCCTTGAAATGTGCACTATAAGAGCCACAGAATAAAGTTGTTTTTTCCAAATCCACCGTGAGTATAGAACGTCCCTGGGGAAGTGGCCAGACCCCTGGTTCCTGTCTCCCCCAGGCCTTTCTGGGGATGGAGGGTGAAGGGCTGGGGACGTTGTTTGTGTGAGGAGTGGTTTGGCTGGAGGGTTGTTGGGGTCTCAGAGGGAGGCTATGAACGGCTTGCTGGGAACAAAAGGCAGTTGAGGTGTTTAGAGGCAACCCCCTGGTCCAAAGGCCAGGTGGGTCTGGGAAGGGGCCGTGCCCTTGCCCTGGCTCGAACTAGCCACCGCAGTGGACCATTGGTCTTACGAGCGTCCACTAGTCTATGAGGGCCCAGGAGTCTTACGAGGTTCCCGTCCCTCACTGGTCACCGATGACTTCAGAGCTATGTTCTTGTTGGTCCTTCTAGGCAGTGCCTTGACAGCCCTGTGGGATTGTGGCAGGTAGGGCCCTGGGGAGGCGATATGTGAGTGGGAGGCACTGGCGTTTTGGGGTGTGGACACAGGGGCCAGAGTGTGTGCTGGTGGCTCTGGGCTGGGAATAAGGGACGCAGCGTCTTTCTTCAGCGCAGGCCGGTTTGCATCGGAGACGGCCTGAGGAGTGATTTCACGTGGGTCCTGTGGCTGCTCCTTGGCACAGCTGCTCTAAAGCGCTGCGTGAGGATAAGCACGGAACCCGCTCTCACGCGGGGTGCACGCCTGTCCTGTGCTGTCCCAGTGGGCCTGGGATCCCCTGGATTCAGTCCCCCACCCAGCGTTGTCTCTCCCGCGCCTTCGTGGGACACCTGCTGCCGAGCTTCAGGCGTCAAAGCTTTTGCAGGGCCTAGTGGAGGCTGATGGAGCACACGCCCTGGGCGGGGTCTGTGCCCGCGCAGGCGCTCTGGGCGCCTCCACGGTCCTGCATGACTCAACTCTACCCTGTTCTTTCCTCACAGCCCCCTGCCGCCCTTGCAGCGACACAGAAGTGCTCTTGGCAGTCTGCACCAGTGACTTCGGTGAGTGCTCATGGCTCCCACCTCGGGGACCTGGGGAGGAGCCCCACCTGGGCCCGGAGGACCTTCCGGTGCTGGTGCAAAACTCTCGGGGTGCGAGGGAGACTGCCAACGACCCTGGGCTTGGTGCTCCTCCGTCCTGTGCAGGGCTGTGCCCCAGGGTGACTCCAGCACAAGGGAAGGTACCTGCCTGTGCCCACGGCGGGGAGGGGGTCTAAGGGAATTCCTGTTTAAGGTGACTGCGGGGCTCTTCCCATGTGCACGTGGGGTCACCGGTCAGGAAGCCTCACCTCAGAGCCCACTCTCCGCCGGGTCCCATCCAGGTGCAGCAGTGGGAGTGGGAGGCCCTGCGGGGGCCCCGAGCTGAGGTCGGGGACTCAGCCTCAGGTGTGCTCTGGGTAAAGGACGAGGCACTGGCTGCTGCGCCTGGGGGCAGGGGTGTGGCTGCAGGCCGGGGCTCGCAGGCTTCCTTGTGCTCCCTGCTCCTGCAGAGGGGAGTGGGGCCGCAGGGTCCCTTCCCGCCCTCTGAGGTCAGCGGCCTCCCATCGGCACAGGCCCTTGGCATCAGCTGAGCTTCCTTGTCTTGTTTAACTGGAGAAGCTGGTGCCCCCTGCAGTCACCTCCTCTGTCTCCGGCGGTGTGGCTGACCCCTGGTGGGAACAGCTCTCTGCCCACACCGGCCCGCAGCCTCCTGCGCGTGAACTGCGCTTTTTAAGGAGAGGCTCTGGAGGGCAGAGTGCAGGGGCAGCTCCCGGTTCGCATGCCCGCCTGCCGCCAGGGCGCGCTGACCCGCTATCCCGCTCCCTCCCCAGTGGTTCGAGGCGCCATCCAGGCCGTCACCCACGACCCGGAGCGGCAGGAGTCGGCCATCCACCTGCAGGTGAGCCGGCTCTACCGGCAGAAGAGCAGCGTCTTCCGCCCCGCGCCCGAGGGCGGCTGGCGGGGCCGCGTCACCACGCTGCTGGAATGCGGCGTGAGGCCCGGGCGTGGCGAGTTCCTCTTCTCAGGCCACATGCACTTTGGGGAGGCCCGGCTTGGCTGCGCCCCGCGCTTCGAGGACTTCCAAAGGATGTACAGGGACGCGGAGGCGAGGGGGCTGAACCCCTGCGAGATGGGTGTGGAGTGACCGCGGGACGGGTGACCGCCGAGTCGGACCGCTTGAGGTCCCTGCCAAGGACACCCTGACCCATTAGAAATGCTGTAAAATGCAAACTAAGTTATTATATTTTTTTTAAAAAAGAAGTGTCCAATGGAAGCACTTCCGTGTCTTAAACCACCTCTGTGCGCCATTTCTCGCTGCTTTCCAGAAGCATCTGATGTGATTGCACTTGGCCCGGGTCTGGGGTGAAGGGCGGCGCCGGGCCCACGGCTGGCCCCACAGCGGACCTCCAGCATCAGGCTTTGTGCAGAGCTTGGGTGCTGTGCAAAGCTGTTTCTTAGGATGCAGATTTATGGAGCCAAATACTTAGGTTTTTTCATTTTGTCTCTGCTTTTTAAAGAATGTGCTTTGCAAGCCCTGCTTGTTTGGGGCTGCAGGCTGCCTCTTTCCAGGGAAGAAAGACCAGCCTTTGATGGGGCGGGCCCCTGTGCCCACAGCAGAGCTTCTCCTGGGGTTAGCATGTGGGAGGGGGCCCCAATGGTCCTGGTGCTCAGGCCCTTTCACATGGGGCCACCTCAAAGCGTGCTGGTCCCCCTGTGCTCCAGGACAGGCCACAGCCAGAGGCACCCTCCCTCCTTCCTGTCAACACAGATCCCACCCTTGACCCCAGCTTCTGCCAAATTCCTGAGGCTACAGCACATCTCTGGACATCCATGGCTAGTCTGCACTGGGCTCAGTGACCCCATATCCTCAAGGAGGAGTTAGTATCCTGTGGCTGCCGTCACAAATGACCATAAACCAGGGGCTTCGAGAAGACATTTGGGCCCTTGTGCCCTGGTTCAGGCGTCGCAGGGCACACTCTCGGAGGCCCCAGGCTCGGTCCTTCCTGCCTGTCCCAGCTCCTGGGGGCGGCCAGCAATCTTTGGCACCTCTTCCAGTCTCCACCACTGTTGTCACAGGGCCTGTCCCCTCTCTCTGTGTGTCCTGTGGCCAGATTCCCCAACGGCCTCAACCTGACCTCATCTGCGAAGACTTGTTTCCAGATAAGTTCACGTTCACAGTTGTAGACAGATATGAATTTTGGGGGATACTCAAGTGTCCAGTAATCAGACCCAAGTCTGTGTCATCTGTGAATCAGGTGATTTCTCCCAAGTAGGTGCTGAGACCGAATGGCTGGGCAGTGAGCATCATGCCAGCTGCACTGAAGACTCAGACATACCATGTGGCCATGGCAGGCGCTGTGTGCTGGCTCAGGTGAATTCTGGCTCAGGTGTGCGCTGGCTCAGGTGTGCGCTGGCTCAGGTGTGTGCTGGCTCAGGTGAATTCTGGCTCAAGTCTGTGAGCTCCTGCAGGTCACAACAAAGCAGGTGCTCAACAACTTCACCATGCGAAGCAGGACCTTGACCTAAAGCAGCTGGTTGGTGAGGCACCAGTGGCTAATTGTGATGCTTTGTTCTGGGAGAGCAGGACACACGCTGCCCAGCAGGAGGGCTGACCTCCTAGGCTCCTACTTTGGTGTTTTCTGCTGGCTCCACCCTGAGTGAAAGGCCCCCAGGGCAGCTGAGGCTGCAGAACCAGAATGACGGGTTTCGGTTTCGGGCTGATATTCCTCTGACATCAGTGCAGGGATTGGGACCTGCTGGCACCTTGTGTGCTAATGTGCTGATGTCAGGTGAACAGCAGTACTCACTCCAGGTGGGGGTCAGCTTTTTAGGAAGTGCCGGGGGCTGTGGGCAGCAGCTGGCCTTGGGGTTGAGGCTTCTTGGTGGGCGTCTGCAGGGAGAGCAGGGCTCCCCACACCAGGGAGGAAGTGTCTGCTTTGATCCTGCCTGGGCACTGGGCACCGATGAGCCAGATCTGCAGGTGGGCAGGTGCTCTCCGTGGCTTGTGGGCTCAGTGCCTAGCAGAGCCGGCCCCGGCTGCTTGGTGTTGGGGATGGGTGGAAGGGTCACCATTTCCAAGGGACACAGAGCCCCTATGTCCTTGCCCTCCTGATGCCCAGAGCCTCACATGGGCACCTGGGCCACTACACGCCTCAGCCTGCTCCCTGAAACCAGAACGCCTGCCCTCCTATGTCAATCAGCAGGGAAGCCCCCATGCCCTGGAGCCCTGAGACACCAGGCGAGCAGGCCCGTGGGGGGGCCTCTCTTCACACGCTGGGGCTTGTTTCCACATCCTGGTACCTTCCATGGAGGTGGGATGGACCACAGGTGTGGAGGCTCACGTGCTCAACTGGGGTCTGGCCAGTGACCACACCCACCCATGTGGCCAGTTGGGACCCAGGGCAATCTCGAAGACTGCTGAGTGTGGGTGTTTCTGTCCTGGGCTCTGGTGGGGAGCTGGCCCCTGGGTGAGGGCTGTGGCCAACATGCCCTGTCAGCCCTGGGGGCCTTGTTTTCTTTGCTGGGCAAGAATTGCGGGCTTTGAGTCAGACTCTCCCTGGGGGCTGGCCTGCCGCCCCTGCACAGGGACCCCGCCTTCCTCCATCTGTACGTGATCGTGATGGTGTGAGGGGACCGGCTGCAGGCAGAGGTGCAATTTGAGCCAGGCCTTGCTGGGGATGGGGAGCGGGGAGCTTCACGGCTGGTATCTGGGAGGAGCGTTCAGGGCCTGGGGGGAAGGGGTAGGCAGGACTCCGATTGACTCACACACAGTCAGCCTCGGCTCCAAAAGCCAGCGCTTGGCCCTGGGAGGGTGAGAGGGGGCTCCTGCTCACAGCGTGCGGTGCTGTGATTCCTTCCTGGGTGGCCATGTTTCCGTGGACATGGTCCACATCTCGTCTGTCATCTGATCAGGGCCTGCACCCACTGTGGATGGCAGAATGATGGCCCCCAGAGATGTCCTTATCCTGACCCTGGAACCTGCAAATATGTTTCCATGGCAAAGGGGAGCGAAAGCCGCCCATCGAATGGGGAGACTGTTCTGGATCATTGGTGGCCTGTCGTCATCATCACAGGGGCCCTTAAGAATGGAAGAGGGAGGTGGGAGAGGACTGGGCCTGAAGCTGTGGCTATGCAGGTGGAGGAAGGTGCGACCACACAGGCCCATCCCCAAGGGAGCTGTGGCACCTCGGGGGCTGGGACCTGGGAAGGAGGGGGTTCTGCCTGTGGCTGGGGAAGCCCATCTGTTAGCACAGGTGGCTCTTGGTTTTTGTCAGGATGGCAGTCTCAGGGCCACCTTTAAGATCCAAAATTGTGGGATTTCAACAGCCTCATAAAAAAAATGAAAAGAAAATCAGAGCAATTGAAACAAATTCCCTGGAGCCTTTGGGGATACGCTTGCTGGACCGCAGGCTGCTGTGGGTGGTCTTGGCTGGGAGTGGCCCTCTCAGTACCTTGGTGATCCCAGAGCGGGGTGGAAAGGGGCTATGTGTGACAGTGGGGCTTTGGTCATTGTCTCAAGGCCCTGAGCTGAGTGCTATCAGCAACCCCAGGGGTCCCTGATCCCCATGGGATGGAAGATGAAGACGTGGGGTTGGGGAGCCTTGGGAAGATGCTGGAACCCCCTCGTAGGTGGTTAGGGAGCCGAATGCGAACAGGACTGAGCTCTGCCTTGTCAGGATGGAGAGGGTCAGGGCCGGGCGGGCGGCCTTGCTGGGTGGGGGACAGGTGTGCACGGCTGAGACCTGTTAACGAGGAGTGATGGGACTTCAAAAGGTGAGCCAGACACCCCGCACCCCATGTCCCTGTGCTGGTCACCCCAGTCCAGTCCAGGGGTCGGAGGGGAGGTGGACAGTGAGCCTTCCACCTCCCACAGCCTCGGCATGGGCCTGTTGTCCACAGGTGCCTGGGAGCTCCAGGCAGCTCAGAGCCTGAAGGTGGCACCCCAGACTTCAGTACAAGTCGGAGAGGCCAAGGTGACCCAGAAAATGTGGTGCAGGGGCCACGGCTGTGCTTCTGCTAGATTCAGGACTGAGAAGGACTGGAGTCGGGCTGGGGTACCCCAGGACCTGATCAAGGCCCCGGCCGGCGGGGGCTCTGGAGATGCCCTGGACGGGTCCCCCTGTGGAGACCTCCCCCTCGGGGCCACCACAGCTGGTGTGAGGGTCTGTTGGGACACAGAGGTGCTCGTCAGATGCACCTCCCCCAGTCCTCCAGCCCCACCTGGGGGCTCCCCCGGGGGCCCAGGTAGGAGAGTCAGGTCCCCATTACCAGTGATCCAGGACATCTGAGCGTGAGGAGGGGGCTGGGGGAGTGCGGGATGAACTTCCTCCCCAGCCCTGGTTTTCTTCCTGTGCCATCACCTGCTGTCCCTCCGGGGAGCTGCGTGGAGAATGAGGAAAGTTCCAGGTGGGCTCAGCTGTGCAGAAGCCCCCGGATGGGGTGAGGGGTGGGCAGGGGCATCATCACACACTAGGACAGAATGTGAGATGGTGGCAGCTCGGGCACACAGGGTGGGGGGCCCTGGGCCAGGATGACCAGAGCAGAGAAGGCTTTACTAAGGAGAAGGGACAGGGAGACACTGAGGATTTTAAAACTAGGACTTTATAATGTTAAACCATGAAAAACATGCCATGAAAGCAAAGTTGGAAAAGCCAGAAAAGTGAAAAATAAAACAGCCATCGTCCCATCACCGAGATTAGCACTGAGGGCATTTGCACCCAGCTACACCGTATCTGGGCGGCGATGGGAACCTCTCTCCTGATTCCGCAGGAGGTCTTCCCAACAGGGATCTGAGTGACAAAGCTGCAGCCCCCTGATCCCCCAACTGGACCGCCCAAGCTTGGTTTGTGCAAATGGAATCTGCTACGAGTGACTGAACCCCTAGAGTCCGGCACGCCCCGGGGACCCATATTCTGTCACTGGCATGACCACCCAATGAGATGTGCACTGTCGTCACCCTCATCTACAAGTGAAGAAGCCATAGCACAGAGAGGGTGATACACAAGCCCAAGGCCACACGGCTGAGGGAGTAGCAGCTCAGGGTTCCAAACAGTTACACCTGATGGGTGACGAGCCCTGAGTCACCCTTTAAAAATTTTTTTAATTGGGGAATTGGGGGAGGGGACCAGCCAAGTTGTGGTTCTTCAGTCTTCGTTGTGGAGGGCACCAGTCGCCATCTGGCTTCCCGTCGGCAGCTCGTGGCCTCTAAGCTCAAGGTGCTGTGTTCAATCTTAGTTGCGGGCGGGCGTAGCCACCATCCCATGCGGGAGTCGA